CCACACACACACACACACACACACACACACACTTGTGATGATGCTCGCATCTCAAAGAGAAATGCTACTCTGTTCCCAGCCTCTCCGGAAACTCTTGGGAAATCTGTGAAGTTTTGGTTAACTAAGAGCGGTCAGTATGACCAAAAGCATCAGGTGATTCATATCAAATGAACGAATCAGTCTGACATTAGTGTAAAAACAGCTACACATGAATTCTTAATTAGTAATTATTTAAAAAATAAATTATTGCATTTTAGAGTAGTGTGATAGTCACAGCGGTTATCAAAACATCCCCCCCAATTTTTTTTTTTTTTTAAGTGGTGTTATTTATTATATAAACTGTATGTATATATATATATATAATTTTTTTACCCCACATTTCTTTCTTTATTTATTATTATTTTATTTAAATTTTTTTGACAATAAAGCACATTTCTCCCGGCAGGATAATTACTTAAATGCATTAAATCTCTTTCTAATTACTTTAATTTTTTCTTTAAAAAAATATTTATATAAATATTGAAATTTTATTATCATTATATTTTACTTTTTTACTTTATTTTACTTAAACGTATTTAATCTCTAATTACTTTAATGTGAATGTCTTTAAATATTTATATAAATACTCAATTATTTATATAAAATATAAATAGAGGAACTTTCAGGACATTTTATTTATTTATTTGTTTATTTACTTACTGACTGACTGTGATTTTTCATTACAAATTAAGTGAGCACATTTCTCCCTCCAGGATCATTACATTTAATTAATAAATTCTAATTTTTGTAATGAAAAAAAGAAAGATTTATTTATATTAAAATAAATCTAAAACACACATATACACAAACACAATCATATTCTTTACGAATGAATAATACAGTACACTACAATACTAAATACTTCAGAAAGTCGTAGTGATATTTCTTCACTGATGTTCTTGTTTTGCCTCTAATAGTGTTTGTTTTTACAGCTGATGCTGTATTCAGTAAACTGAGCTTCATTACACATCTCCCAAAAACACACACGAACACACCACATTCCCGAATCATGAGTCGCATTTCACTCTTTCCAGCTTTCCATACCAGCTTACAGCTGTGATTACGCCTGATTCCTGACCACAGTCATATTTCACTGCTGCTTCCAGACATTTTCTCCCTCATATATTCACTGAAATGTGGTCTGTTTTTGAACCAGATCCTGTCTTTGAATGGCACAGGTTTTATTCACTTTGTGTTGACGGCAGTGGAAAAACAAAGAGTGCTGATTGGGATTCAAGATCACTGCCTGTTAGCAGAAACACGGTCTCATGTCAGATAGATAAACCTCCTACAAAACCAGATTCACACTGATCTTCAAAGCCTCCCTCACTCCACCGAATGACATTCACATGCTTTACAGGGCACTGGAGGAGATACTAAACACCTTACATTAAAGACTGAGAGAGTTAAGAGGAGGAGAGAAAGGAGAACGAGGAGGAAGAGGAGGAGAAAAGGGGATAAAATGAGGAGACGGTATACATGAAGAGAGTGGAGAGGAGGAGAAAAGGGGAAAGAAGAGGAGGACTAGAAGGAGGAGAACGAGAGGAAAGAAGAGGAGGAGAAAAAGAGAAAGATGAAGAGAAAAGGAGGAAGAGGAGAAGGGAAGAGGAGGACTAGAAGGAGAAGAACAAGAGGAGAAAGAGGAGGTGGTGGAGGAGAAGTAAAGGAAGAAGAGGAGAAGAAAGTAGAGGAGGAGGAAAAAGACAAATAGGAGGAGAAAAGGAGGAAGAGGAGAAGGGAAGAGGAGGACTAGTAGAAGGAGAACAAGAGGAGAAAGAGGAGGTGGTGGAGGATAAGTAAAGGAGGAAGAGGAGGAAAAAAGAAGAGGAGGAGAAAATGAGGTGAAAGATGAAGAGGAGAAAAGTGAAAAAATGAGGAGACGGTATACATGAAGAGAGTGGTGAGGAGGAGAAAAGTGGAAAGAAGAGGAGGACTAGAAGGAGGAGAACAAGAGGAGGAAGATGAGCGGTGGAGGAGAAGTAAAGGAGGAAGAGGAGGAAAAAAGAAGAGGAGGAGAAAAAAGAAAGATGAGGAGAAAAGGAGGAAGAGGAGAAGGGAAGAGGAGGACTAGAAGGAGAAGAACAAGAGAAGGAAGAAGAGGTGGTGGAGGAGAAGTAAAGGGGGAAGAGGAGAGAAAAGAAAAGGAGGAGAAAAAGAGAAAGATGAGGAGAAAATGAGGAAGAGGAGAAGGGAAGAGGAGGACTAGAAGTAGGAGAGCAAGAGAAGGAAGACGATGTGGTGGAGGAGAAGTAAAGGAGGAAGAGAAGAAGGGAAGAGGAGAACTAGAAGGAGGAGAACAAGAGGAGAAAAAAGAAGAGGAGGAGAAAGATAAGGAAGAGGAATAGAACAAGGAGGAGGAGAAACGGAGGATAAAGATGAGGAGAAGAAAGGGAAGAGGAGGACTTGGAGGAAAACATGAGGATAAAGAGGAGGTGGCGGAGGAGAAGAAATAAAGGAAGAGGAGAAAAAGATGAGAAGAAAGGTAGAGAAAGGTTAGGCAAAAAGGAGGAAGAGGAGAAGCAAGAGAAGAGGAGGACAGGGAGGAGGAGGAGTAGAAGGAAAGAAGGAAGAGGAGAAAAAAAGAGGAGGAGAAAGGGAGGAAGATGTGCAGAGGAGGGGAAGAGGAGGAAAACGAGCGATAAAGAAGAATGAGAAAAATAAGTGGAGAAGAAAAATAAGTGGGGGGGACGAAAAAGAGGAGAAGAGGGAGATGTGGGGACAGGAGGAAGAGGAAGAAAATGAGACAGATTAAGGAAAGGGAGGAAGAGGAGAAGAAAAAGGAGAAAAGAAGGAAAAGGAGAAAAAAGAAAAGTAGGAGACAAGGAGGAAGAAAATTAGTAGAGCAGGGGAAGAGAAGGAAAAGGGGGATAAAGTGAAGGAGGAGAAAAAGAAGAGAAAAAAATTAGAAAGAGGAGAAAAAAATACGAGTAGGAGAAAAAAGAGGAGAAGAGGAGGAAGAGGAGGAAAAAAAGAGGAGGAGAGTAGGAGGAGGGAGAGGAAGAGAAAAAGGAGGAGGAGGAAGAAGAGGAGGAGAAAAAGAAAAGGAAGAGAAATGGAGGAAGAGGTAGTGAATGAAGAGAAAGGAGGGAGGAAGAGGAGGAGAAAAGAGGAAGATGAAAATGAGGATAAAAGATGAGATAGGAAAAAGAAAAGGAGGAGAAATGGAGGCGGAGGAAGAGAGGAGGAGGAGAAAAGGGGGAGAAAGAGGAGGAGAAAAAGAATGAAAAGAGGAGAAGCTAAAAAGAACAGCAAGAAACAAGAAAAAAGAAGAGAAGATCAGAAAAAGGAAATAGAGAGGGGAGAAGGACACGGAGAATGAGTAGAAGAAAAAGGAGCAGAAGAAAGAGAAGGAGATGCAGAAGAATATGGAGGAGGAGCGATGGCAGAAACTATGCCTCATCACTGCATGTCAAAGTCCAACGCTTCTGCTGGCTCCAGAGCCAAGAGCCTCGGCCACACGAGCACAAGGTCAGGACCCTACAGCGGGACGACGGCCACTAACAGCACGTCCTAGTGACACATGACGCTCAGAAACCAGTTCAGCCTCTGCCAACGACTGACTGCGAGAGAGAGACAGATGCATTCTGGGCATGAAATGTGTTCATGCCATGGAAAAAGTTGTAGTAAGTAGAAGAATGAGAAAGTCACAGCAACAGTATCCAAAGCTCTGCCAGACACTGCATCTCTAACAAGAAAGATCGTTATAGGATATGAAAGTGTACAATAGAGATTAAAAAATGGTGAACCCAACAGAGGACGTCTACAATAGACCGAGTGTCAGTCCACAACGCAATACTTTATAAACAGAATAAAGAGTTCTGTTAGTTTACAAACATCTTTGAAGACTTGGACGTGCAATTCTAACAATGCCTGAGAACACGATATGGTTTAGTATGATTATCAAATGGAAATGACCGCGTTGTAATTCTATAAATATGTAATCGGATGCGCTGTGATCTTTTCATGTTTTGCAGTAAACGCTGCTCCACACAAACTGCATCTCTGAAAGCGCTGAGTTTGAGTCGCTTACAACGTGCATTTGAAAAAGCAACATGCACCAAACACCTTCAAAAGATGGTAACGAGAAGCATTTAGAAATCTGCTGTCAACAAAAGAGAAACATTTCAAAAGATACGTTTGCATGTGAATTTCAGCTCTGTGCGTTAATATTTGAACACAAAGATAAATATTTTAAATTTAAGTATTAGTATTGTAAATGTAATATTGTTAATATAAATGAAAATTATTGTTATGAAATACTTTACAGATCAATAGTATTATGGGGATATTTATTTACTGATTTCTTTTGTATAAATGTATACGAGGACTAATGCTAATACTAATAATACTAACAAAAATTGTAATTAGACACGTTTCTACAGTTTGTAATCAGAAAATGTTTATAAATCTGTTGTCAACAAAAGAGAAGTTTCTCTGAGGACTTCAGCCAAAATAAAAGCTCTAAACATTTGAAAGCAACAAACCATTAAAGACTGAGAGAGTTAAGAGAGTTGAAAGAAAAACAACAACCAAAAATAAGTATTATTATTATTATATAAATACAATTTTTATAAATAAATGTACAATTTGATTAATTAATAATAAATAAAAAATTAATAATAATAATAAATACATTTGTTTTGCACAATTTGTTCCGCCTGTTGTTTTTATATATAAAAAAAGGCATTTACAGTTTAATGGCTGGTAAAAGATAATTATGCCTGAATTTTCTCAAGTCACCATCCACTGGCAGGTGTGGCATAATGTTAGTTTTAGGCCCTGCTTGGACCACTGACAGACCAATGCATTAAATACCAGAAGAACAAAAATACTTTTTGACATCAAACTACACCAGAGTTTAACACATAATACACAAATTAAAAATCTAATCCTTCAGTTTATAACCAGCTATAATTGAAACTCATGCGACTGTCCTAATAATGCAGCTCCTGTAACGGTACCTTGTTTCTCCCGCCGTTCATCGCCAGTGTCGTCATATTGAGTTTCCATGGCTGTTTCGTAGAAATCCAAAAACAAATCTCCCTCCTTGAAACTTCTCTGGTTTTCTGACCGTTTCTCTCGCTCTCTTGCCTCTCTCAAATCTCTCTCTTCTTCTTCTTCACATCGCTGTCTTACCCTGAACCCATACAGAAACTAGAGATGTTTCCCAGTCACGTCTGCACAAAATCACGGACGCATTCCCGGACCGGCACCATGCCAGTGGAGGAGGTGGAGGAGGAGACCCACACACTCCCATGCATATATTAACATACTCAAAAAAAACACCGGCCACAAAGTAGCCTTCCATCTGCTGCCTGACCCATGAGAACCCAAGGCATCCAAAGAAAAGGGGAAGATCCCCTCTGGACAATGAAAGATGCAGAGAAGAATGGAAAGTGGGAGCAGATGGAGGTAGAAATGAGAGAAAGATAAGGAAAGAAAGAACTAAATAACTACAACTTTAAAGCAGATTTTGATGCTGCATTCAAGTCCTCCTTGTGTAAAGGTTTGGAAATCGTAATTACGTGATGTGCATTCTGAAAAAAAAAAGATAAAAAATATTTACAAAAATGAAAATGTTCTCACAATTCTGAGTAGAAAAAGAGGAATTGTAAAAAAAAAAATAAGATTTGCGAAATACAAAGTCATAATTAGCTTTTCTTTTTTTTTATCCCATGGCAAAAACAAGCTTCCAAAGAAAAAGAAAAGAAACTCGACTAAATATTTGTTTACCTGCACATCATGTGACCATGAATCAAAATCCGTGAACTTGCAAATGTGTTGTTACATTTTTGGAAATATGAATTTAAACTCTCTGGGACTTCAAGCAAATATTTCAGCTCAAAGAGTTTTGATCCAATCCAAACAGTTCTGACATCTCATCTCGCAAACATGATCGTTCTGATTGCACATTCTGAATGATAATATATTAGGCCAAAATTAGAAGTAATAAAATCAACTCCTGAATAGCTCTTAAATATCAGCTTGTAGGCGGGTTACGGGTTGTGACAGGCTCAGCACAGCTGATGGTGTCAAAGGGCCGGTGAATGCACTGTGTTCGCCAACATGGGGTAACACACACACACACTCACACACTGACACACACACACTCACACACTGACACACACACACTCTCACACACACACTCACACAATGACACACACACACTCACACACACACTCGCACACACACACTCGCACACAC